GGGGGGGGGGGGGGCTGGGGGAAGACCGGCCCGGGGCTGCCTCCATCTCCAAGGAGCAGCGTGGGAACACGGACATGTACGTGTGTGTGTGTGTGTGTGTGTGTGTGTGTGTGTGTGTGTGTGGGTGTGTGGGTGTGTGTGCAAGTGTCTGAGACATAGATCTGTGCTCTATAACAATAAGGAAAGCAGACAAGCTTGATTCATCCAGGGTTCCTACACATTTTCTATTTTAAATCTCGTATTTCCTGACTTTACTGTATACTAGGAAGGATCTTTGACATAAGAGTATAAATAAAAAGATAATTATTCATTGTTTTTGAAAATTAATTGCTATGCTATTATCTTGCCAAATAATATCCACTGTAGCTCATACAAGTCAACTAATAAGAAATAGTTTTTCCACTGATATGGTCATTTCAATTACAGATATTTAGAGAGCAGATGAGGCCCCCCCGCCCCGGTGTGTGTGTGCATATTTGCCTCCTCATTTGCTTAACAACTTTAGCGCGATGAGTAAGTGAGTACGAGCTGCGAGACGCACGCGTCACCTTATGTGTGACATCTCTCCTGCCAGATGTGAATGTGCTGCTGTAACCGTAACAACACAACACAAAGAGGCGATGTAATCCCTTTGCAGAATCTGTTAATCCTTCCTGGATGACATGGCTGTTGTCAAGACAACCCTGCATGTATCTCTCATTCCTGCGCTATGTTGTCCTCCCTTTGCTCATTTCATTAAACAGCATTCTTGATGGAGCCCCTCTCTGTTGCCCATATTCTTGTAGCTCATTGCATCTTTTCAAATGGAGCCAGATTGTAAATCTTCTGAGAATACCCTTGTCTTTTCACTTTATTGTTGCGCAACTCAAAGAGATAAAACCTGTTTGTGATTCCATCCGTTACACCAGAGAGTGTAGAGGAGCTTTGAGAGGAGTCTCACCTTCAATCTGAATAATGTTGTATATTCATCCTTTTTTTCTTTTTTAAAATGATCTTTTAAGCCAACAATGCCTTTAGTGGGGAGTTGAAAGGGGGGGGAGGCCACATAGTCGATGTCACACACAAACGGTTCCAGGTGGGATTCAGACCTGGGTCTGCAGCGGGGCATGAGCCCCAGCACACAGTATGGGCTACCAGCTATACCAGATTATCAATAAAGCTGCCCTATGTTGTGTCATCTTAAAGAGGACATACTCTGCTCATATACAGGTTCATATTTGTATTGAGTGTCTCTACTGGGACATGTCTCCATGCTTTAATGTTCAAAAGCGCTTTATTTTTCTCATACTGCCTGTGCTGTAGCACCTCCTTTCACCCTCTGTCTGAAACCAGAGCCCAATCTGCTCTCATTGGTTAGCTGGTCGGGCTCTGCTTAGGCTAAGGGGCGGGACTTCTCTATCACGTACAATTTGTTGGAGCGCTAGCCAATAGAAAAGCAAGGGTTACATAGTGATGGCACTATCTTCTAAAGTAAACAAACAAGTCCAATGGAGGCATTTAAGGCGGGGGGAGTGCTAGTTTTGAAATGTGATGGACTAAAAACATTTTCTGGAGGGTCTAAGCTTCTTATCTTTCCCTTTTCTTGCAGTGACTATAGTGAAAACCATCGGGAGAGGACCAGACGTCACTGAAATATGTGTTAATACTCCACTGAGTAACATCACACTCATATTCTGTAAGATCAGAACAGAAAGGAGCAGAGCAGAGTGTTTTCTGCATTATGAACCGATAGAGGTCTTCGAGCAACCATGTGACTCCAGGTTCTCTCTGAAGACGGAGAATCAGACTGTGTTTCTCCACCTGATGAATTTAACAGCAGTGGACAGTGGGATCCACACCTGTGAATGTTCTAATCAAGAGGGAACATATATCTACCATCTGAACATCACTGTGGAAGGTAAATGCAATATTGCATCAAACTGTGTGTACATTCTTAAAAGTAGAGCGAATACAAGTGTCACATTTCTAACAATCATGTTTTTCTTTATTATTTTAGAAGACAGAGAGGAAAGCAGTTCAACACAAATGCAGATTCCAGGTATTTTGATTGGTGCAGCTGTATTCATCATCATCACTGCAGTTATCCTCGGTTTCTGCAGGAGAATACATCAAGGGTGAGAGACTTCTTTAATATTCAGAATATCTCTAAAAGATATGCTTTATTTTCTGTGTGTATTTGATGTTATACTGACTCTTCCTTTCTTTAAAGTGTCTGTTCAAGGTCAGCCACATCTGGATCATCTCTATATGAAAACCCCGGTAATTTGGTGAGTGATGCTTTCTTTAAACTCAGAAAGCAGTCAGTAGATGTGTATAAAATAATTTATAAATGATGCACACAACCTATATATCACACTACAGGAAAGGTAAAGCCCTAAAAGCACATTAGGGCCTCTTTA